TGACGATTTCATATAAGAACCAACGTACATTTTCAAACACTATCATAACACAATATAAATAAATCCAGAGTAAAAAGGAGTCAGAAATACTCGTCTTGCCTCTGTAATTTTGTGGTCCAGTCACAAGTTAATCAATTACTCAGTCAAGGTGACTACCATCACTCACTTGACTATTACAATGACCTCTTACTTGTTCCGCTTCCACTCTCCCCCCCATTCCTTAGTCCATTCTCAACAAATAACCAGTATCTTTTTCTCAGTGTAAATGGAATCCGATCCTATCACTCCTGTGCTTCCAATGCTCTGAGCAGCTTCCTTTGGACATGGCTTACAAGGCTTTGTATTCTCAAGCCTCTGTTCTGACCCCATTTCCTTTCAAGGCTCACCCTGCTCACTATTCTGGGAACAAGCTGGCCTCCTTTCACTCTATAACCATATCCAGCTCTTTCCTGCCTCTGGGCTTTTGTACAACCTGGAATTCTCATTGCATCCACAGGTCCTTATCACGGTTCAGAACCAGGCTCAAATGTCACCCCTTTCGTAGGACCTTACTTTTACCACTTCAGAGAGACCAAACTTTACTACTGCTCCCCCTCATCACTCTAGATTACTTACTACCAGCCCACTGTCATTCTGAAATTCTCTTAGTTAAGTGTCTGTTTTTCTGAAATTTTTTTCGGAAAATTCTCTTAGTTAAGTGTCTGTTACTTGATTATCTCCAGGTGGTAAACAGTGTGTTCCAGCCAGGCGTGGTGGCACACGCCTGTAATCCCGCCACTCGGGAGGCTGAGGCAGGAGGATCGTCGCGAGTTGGAGGCCAGCCTGGGCTACAAAGTGAGCTCAAGGCCAGCCTGAACTGCATAGCCAGACACTGTCTCAAAAAGACAAAAAACAACAACAACAACAACAACAAAGTGTGCTCCACACAAGAAGGGATTGTGTCTGACTTGTTTTGTGCAATAGCCCCAGTAGGTTGAAAAGTGCTCGCCCACATTAACAGTATAACAAACAAATACAAGTTAAATGATGGTTTATCCTCATCCACGAAGTGAGGATAACAGACTGCTGTTAACCATTAGAAGCAACGCAGCCTTTTCCTCAGTACTTCCTACGCCTCAGGCACTGTGAAAATCACTTTTTATGCATATTGTCACTAATATTATGATTGTCATTGTATAAATAAGGCCACGGGGTCTTAGAGAAGCCGAAGATCAGGGGCATGGTGAGGCGGAAGCCAGAAATGCCTATCCTCAGAACCGAGCTCTTAACTACTATGATAGTTTCTAGAACGATGCTCCCTTCTATTTCAGTAAAAATCGGCTATGCCATCTACCTCCCCCACCACCGCCCCAGTTCTACTTTGAAACAGCTGGAAAAAAAAAAAACAAAAAACTATAAGCCTTTTGCGTTTTTCCTCCAAGACGGACATCCTTATGTCCTTCAGTTCTTTCTTAAGTGACCCTCAAAGTCTGGTCACATTCTTCTGACCAAACTTCAATTTGCCACGTCTGTCCAGATGTGATCTTCATTGGGCAAGGGGATCGGGGGCGTCCGAGCAATGGAAGCTCAGGGTCTGAGCGAATGCAGATGCCGAGCGTCGGAGAAGTTAACACAGGAGCGCTTCCAGACAGGGCCGATCCCTGAGCAAATACTGGGGCGCTGGGGACACCAGCCAGGGAACTCCACGTAGAAGTCCCGCGGGAGATCTGCCTGCGCGGCCGCTAGATCGAGACAAAGGATGATGCTTAGGAAAAGAGGGGTGCAGTCCCAAGTGATACTACGCTTGCAGGAGGAGGAGCGAACCGCGTTTTCCTCAAGCACGAGAGGCAGTGGAAGGAAGCGAAAGAAATAGGCAAGAAGCAAAACGCGAACTTACCCGCTATCTGGCAACCCGGCCTCCGTAGCCCGACTATACTCGCTGCCACCTGAGGAGTTCGGTAGCCAAGGCAGCAGCAAGCTCAACGCAGATTACGCGAGACGTAACAGATCTCGCGAGATCTGAACTCTCGTCCCTGACAGCCGGGCGTCCAGTCCCGGGGTCATGGGAGGAGGGCTCTGGGCTCCGGCGTGGAGATGTATTGCTCTCTGTGGCTGGCGTTGGCGCCACCGTGGCTCCTTGACCAGAGTTGCGGAACGGATAGAGCCTTTTCTTCGGCCGGGATGGAGAGGGACTGGAGTTGCTGAGAGGGGACTGAGGCGGCTTGGGACGTGGACGCGCCCGAGTCGGGCGCGGGGTCCGAGCGTGGAGCCGCCGTGGCGGCCGAAGAGCACGAACCCGTTCGCGCGTGCGCAGGAGGAGGCCTGGCGGCGGCGCAACAAGACGGTCCTCACCTATGTGGCCGCGGCCGCGGTGGGCATGCTGGGGGCGTCCTACGCCGCCGTGCCCCTGTATCGGCTCTATTGCCAGGTAGGGGAGGCGCGGGCCGGACGCGCGGCAGTGGGAAGGGTGTCTCCGGTTATCCCCGAAGGAGGATGCCGGCTCAGACTGCGCGTTCCCCAAGGGCACCGAAGAAGGGAGTGGAAAGGCTGCGGGTGGAGCCTTAGGCCCCGCAGTGATCGCGTTTGCGCCGTGCTGCGGGGTGCAGTTCCCTGATCTGAGCTACGCCTCCCGGAGAAGGTCTGCGGCCGTGCTAATAGCGCGCATTCATTCTGCGAGCCACCTGTGGTTGGTGCGGTCAAGTTAACCCTGGACGTGGGAGTTCGGTAGTACTGCTTGTGCTGCGGGGATGAGCCTGGGGTGGGTCATTTCACCCAGAGGCGTGAATTAAACTGTTCCTGTTAATATAACTATGATGTACTTACACTGGGCGCTCTTAGATCAGACGTTGTAATGCAGCAGTTCTGAGGGTAGCTCCCAGACCAGCGTCAGCAACATGACCTAGGAATCTGTTCTTTAGAGTTCGGATTCTTGGGTCCAGCTCTAGAATTACTAAATTAGAAACGCTAGAGGCCGGGGATCAGCAACTTCTTTTTCAGGAAGTACTCCAGCTGATTTAGGGGCGGACTGATGTTTTAGAAACACTGGCAGGATGTTGCTTCCCCTGTTTGGATTTCTCCTCTGTGCTTTACTAGTAGTATTTGGCTTTGGCCGGGCACTGGATCACCTGTGGAGTTTCAGCTGCAGGGCACATCTACCCAAGAAGTTCTGATCAGAAGGTCTAGGACAGGGACTAGGAATCATCGCAGTGTAATAGTGAAGCCTTAAGTGAGAGCTCAGCATTGTGTTCATCCAGGGAGTGTTGAAGATAGTGATTCCTATTGTTCCGCATTGGAGTCACCCAGAGAGCTTTCAAAAACCCTCATGCCCGGCAGGGCACGGTGGCCCATGTCTGTAATCCCAGCACTGAGGAAGCGTGAGGCAGGAGGGTGCAAGTTCCAGGCCCACTTGTCCCTACTCTGTCTCACAATTTAAAATGACAAGGGCTGAGGATGTAGATGTAGCTCAGTGTGAAAGCTCTGGACGCTTTTCCCAATATCCCCGGCCCCCAAATAGGTCCCGATGCCCAGTTTATAAGCCTCACCATGTGAATCACAATATTGAGTATGGGAGCCAGGCATTGCGATTTTCAAAGATTTCTCAATTTGCAGCTGAGCTAGGAAATCACTAGTTTTTCCCTATGACTGATATTTATAGCAGGGTTGACTGCGTTTTCCTGACACTATTATGAATGCCTGGCTTATTTCCCGTCTTCATGGAGACCAGCTTACCTTTCTTTTGGATGGGTAAGCAGCAGAAGTGAAACGGGCTTTTAAATCTCCTTAGTGTACTTATGTGGAATGTGCAATAATTTGATTACAGGAGGATGAGTGTGGAAAGTGAATTTTTTTTCATTCGAGGCCGGACAGGACCAACTATAAACTCCAAAACTACTGCTTGGTTAGATCACAAGTAGAACTGAATCGAAATCAGGTGTAGATCCCAGGCAAACCATCATGGGCCAGAAGGGTGTGATTTTGCCACCAGGAACATTTCACAATGCTCACAGGCAGTTTTGCTTGACAGCATGGGGAAACAGGCATAAAGTGCTACTGGCATCTAGTGCGTAGAGGGTAGGGATGCTGCTTAATATCTAGCACGGCAAAGGATACGCCCACCCTCCCAACAAAGAGTGATCCAACTCAAAATATCAGTACTGCTGAGGTTGAGAAACATCGCTCCGCCAAAGATAGAGCTCAGCGTCACAGGCGCCTGCCAAGCAAGCAGAAGGTCCTGAGTTTGATTCCCAGGTACCACCGGAAAAAAAAAAAAAAAAAAAAACTAAAAAGAGAAAGAAACCTTGCTCCAAACTATAAATAGCAATATTGTATGTGTGTGTGTTTTCCCACTGTAACTGTACAGCAGAAAGTTAAAAAGGATGTGATTTGTAATCCTAAGAATCAAACAATGCTTTACCGGTGACATTTCCAAAAGAACAAACCATTTCATGTAGTGACTTCATTTTATGAACATTTTATGAACCCAAAGCAAATAAAATTCATTCAGTCAGTGGTCAGAGCTCTTTTCTAGTTTTTTTTTTTTTTTTTTTTTCTCTCTTTTTTGGGTCTATTTTAATTTCTTGAAGCACTTAGAAATTTGAAGACTCTGTATTCAAAAAAATATATGAAGAGATCTTGAGGGAGAACAGTTACAAATTTTCTTATTCAAATGGCTCAAATTCTTTAGGAAAGGAATTAAATCTTGAAACTCAAACATTGTGGCCTTCTTAGGTAAAGGTCTACTTACCTGTTAAATAAGGATGCAGACTTGCTCTCTGCATCTTCTAGGTTTATACTGTGATCCAGTAATGTCGCATGGCAGTTGAGTGAAGCAAGGTGACTTGTGCAAATAAGACAGTAACACTATATTTCACTGGGTGTCTTCCCTAGCCTCAATTTTTTTTTCCCCTTGTAGCATGACAGGTAAATTATCTGTAAACTAAAACTGCCTACCTCTACTATCGAAGAATGGCTTTAGAAGGACTTGTTTTTAAAGCATCTAATGATAAATAGTGGCAATGAAGATAAACATCAAGTGTCAGGCACAAATTATTAATAGGTTGATTGTGATAGGTAGTGGCCAAAGGAGTCAGATGCTCCCATTAACTGGTGATACGTAAAACCTGCATTACATAAAGAAGAACATAAAACATATAAAAACATTCGCCTACATAGGAAAATGCTTAATGCTTTAGAAAAGCAGAATATCTAAGTGAAACTACAAACTAATGTGGATTATAATACCTATGATATGGCAAAGGACCAGAGAGGAACAAGAGAAAGTGGGTATTTAAGTATTCTCATTGAAATGATCAAGTCATGGGTAAATTTTTGTTTTGATTTTTTTGGGTGGTATTGGGGATTGAACCCAGGTCCTTTGCACTGAGCTACATCCCAGCCCTTTTTTTTTTTTTTTTCCACTTTGAGGAAGGGTATCCAGTCTCTAAACTGCCCCCTTTTATTTTTTATTTTGAGAAGGAACTTACTAAGTCTATAATTTTCCCAGGCCGGGCTCAAACTTCAAATGCTCCTGCCTCAGCCTCCGCAGAGTACTGGGATTACAAGCACCATCACACCTGGCTAAATTTTATTCATGCACCTGGCTAAATTTGATCTTTTTTTTTTGGTTTTTTTCCAGTACTGGGAACCGAACTCACGACCTTGCACTTGCCAGGCAGGCGCTTTGCCGCTGAGCTAAATCCCCAGCCCCTAAATTTGATCTCTTAATGAGTAATAGTTAATATAAGACACTAGCAATAAATAGTGTTTAATAAAAAGCTATGCCTTGAAAGTCTGTGTTCTATTATCAGTGACAAATTATCTAAAGACTTTCACTCTAATGACTTTTTAAATTCATTTTAACCAAGAGATTGCTGAAAAGTAGGACTCGCTTTAACAAATATCAGCTCTCTACAGCCTAAAACTGGGCAAACCACTGACAAAGCTACAGGAAATGGTCAATGACAGTGTGTAAAATTATCTCCAACTGGATTATTTTTAAAGTTTTATTGTTATCCAATAAATTGGTCAATGCCTAAAAGTATTTTGACGTATTTATTATCTCTTTTCTAGACTACTGGACTTGGAGGATCTGCAGTAGCAGGTCACGGGTCAGACCAGGTTGAAAGCATGGTGCCCGTGAAGGACCGAATCATTAAGGTTACCTTCAATGCAGATGTACACGCCAGTCTCCAGTGGAACTTCAGACCTCAGCAATCAGAAATATACGTAAGTGACTAAAGCAGTCCTTAGAAGATGGCTTGATTCCATGTAAAAAGTTTTTGTCACTATTTCACTCATTGAAACTTAATTTCAAAACAGATTCCATGAATAATTCATGTCATGAATCTTATGAATTATTCACGAATCTGTTAAGTTTTGAAATAACTTTGATAGTGCTCTAGTGTTACAGAATATGTTAACCTGATGTAAGACATTATATGCTTTAATTTTTAAGTTACATAATAGTAAATGTCAGTGTTAAACAATGAAAAAAATCATTGCTTTTATTATAGTTTCCCTCTTTTCTCAGGTATAGATGATAAATGAAGAGAACTGAAAAATCACCAGAGGGGAGATAAATGGGGAAAAAAAGAATTAAAATATATTATGTACAGGTACAAATTAATAAAAATATCCCTGCCCCCTCAAAAAGAAAAAAAAAGTTCTGAAGCCTTTTAAGTAAATAAATATGTACCTAGTATTAGTACATATCACATTATGCTCCAGGAAGACCCTACTCTGTAATTTTGACTAACTGCAAAAGATTTTTAATTGAAATACTCTCATTAACAGGATTAGCCAAGAAGTCTTAGTTTCCACCCTTATTGGGAAACCCCTATAAATTCCAGTGCTTGTCCGGTTTTAGTAAACATGAGCTGTGTGAGACTTGATTGATTTTATGGATTATGATTTTGCTTATTAGTTCTAATTACCTGGTAGTATATAAGTATTAACAGTGAATTAGTATAATTTTTTTTTTTAAGCCTTGTTATTTTTCTCAAAGCATTAACCATTTTTGGCTAAGTAAAGATTCTGTTCAGTCAGGTTTACTCTGGTTACAAATTTAATTTACTCTGATCAATGTAAGTTTGATATTAGTACCCTTTTTAAAAAATAGCCATAGCTAGGCATGGCAGCACACACCGGTAATCCCAGCACTCTGGGAGGCTGAGGCAGGATTATCCTAGCCTGGGGAATTTAGCTAGAGATGTAGATTATTGTGAAGGACCTAGGTTCAGTTCCCCCATACAAGGGGAAAAAAGGTCAATCATGTCAGTGTTAAGGTTTAAGTGTTATAAAGAAGTTAGGCTTATGCTTAGACACATTTTAAATAACCTGTACATTATTGCTTGAAGACCTCAGACATACAAGAGGTTTTCTATGACTATCCAGAATGGAACATTTTGTTTCTTCATTGACATGCAAATTAAATTTGAAACTCAGGTTTGGGTCATAGTCACAATTTATTTTGTTGAACTTAGTATTAGTTTAGATTATGTGTTACAATCTGACAGGAAAAATAATATGGCTGTAGTTTTGTGAGCTGTGTGACATTTAAAGTACTGATAATGGGTGTATGTTTAAAACAGGTGGTACCAGGAGAGACTGCACTGGCCTTTTATAAAGCTAAGAATCCTACGGACAAACCAGTCATTGGAATTTCTACATATAATGTTGTACCATTTGAAGCTGGACAGTATTTTAATAAAATACAGGTAAACACAACGTAAGCATTATGTGTCACAAACTTTAAAATAAATAAAATGAAAATGGGGGAAGGATATCTAGAAACAAAAGGAAGGAGTAGGGAAGGTAGGTAGGAGAAAAGAAGAGAAAGGATCAAGATCTGTAAAGTCCACGTACTTACTCCCTAAAGTGAGTGTAAACATTATATACTGCAAACATGTACAAATAAAAAATTTTTTAAAAATACTGGTAAATCGAATGTGAACTATTTAGAATGAAACTTCCTAGAATGTGTTAGTAGATACTTACGATTTCTGAAAATTTCTTCGCTTCTAAATTGCAAGCCACTTTTATATTCATTGTTTACATTTGCCGTGGAGACACTGAGAGCCAAGCCAGATGACTTCTGCTTTAAGATTAGAATTGACCCTCAGTCCTTAAAGCAGCGCTCAGTCTGGGATGAGAAGATGCTGTTACTCTGTCCCAGAATGTAACCTCAGGAAAGAACTATCCCTTCGTTACAGGCAGTAGAAACGTGATTAAACAAGTGCCTTTCTATGACTTCTAGTGCTTCTGTTTTGAAGAACAAAGACTTAATCCCCAAGAAGAAGTGGACATGCCAGTGTTTTTCTACATTGACCCTGAATTTGCAGAAGATCCAAGAATGGCGAATGTTGATCTTATCACTCTTTCTTATACTTTCTTTGAAGCAAAGGAAGGTCATAAGCTGCCAGTTCCAGGTTATAACTGAAGTAGTATCCAAGCCTTGCTTCAGACTTGTGATTTTTGAAAAATCATGTACCTTGCATTCTCATTAGAGAAATATTCTACACTATGAATTGAAATTTTCTATTTTAAGTGGTTCTCCTTTTTTTCCTCCAGTGAATTTACCTTACTGAGAATTGAGAGAACAGATTCAACTTTGGTCATAAGAAACTGATACGCATGGGATTGTTCCATAACGTACTTAGGAATTTGATGGTTTAAAATAAAACAAGGTGGTATAATCTGAAAATGGAAGAGGGGTCACTAAATTCTAATGACTTCCTCAAAGATTACAAGCTTATTTCAAATGTGATGCTGTTCTTCTTTATGGTCTAAGGCTATGGTACATTCAAAATAGTGAATATTTTAATTACTTTGAAATGGTGGTATCATGAAATTGAAATAAAATACATCTACTAGGCTGGTAGCATCTGCCATCATAGTTCCAATTCACTGAATGTTCAGATGTAAGGATAGGATTGTGAAAGTTTACTGATACACAAGTATAAGTTCCTCTGCCAACAAAATTTTGTAAAAAAAATTTTATTAAATTATTTTAGTATTTATTTGTCATTGTAATGTATGTAAGTGAATGCGCAGTTTATTCAGAATGTTTACCAGTAGTCTTTTTTCCAAATAGAAATATTAATTATAGTAAAAAGGAAAACATTTTAGCATTATAAAGAATCATACTTAAAGGCCATTTGTTGCAAAGTCTAGTGATCTGTTGAGGGCACTTGAGAGATAATTAAACTACAATCATCAAGTCTTTATAACAGCTCTAAACCAAAGTATCATTTATAAAGAAGTGCAAATTGATTTTTACATTCAATTTTAGTTCAGTGAAGGCACTCAGTGTTCTTGCTGAATAATTTGGTTTCTCACATTTCCTGCTTACATCTTCATCTACTTTTATTACAGCTGTGTGATCTATTTCTATATGTAGAAAAGATACTGTGACTAAACTGGTTGGCTAAGTACTAAGTAATTTTTCTTCAAGTTTTAAGTCAGTACTTTTACACCCATGTTCTACTGAAGTAAATCTTGAGTGTTGTCAGGAACCATGAATGTTACCCAGGAACTGTTACACTTCTGTTTAAGCCTCATGAGAGCAGAAGAGTCGGTCAGGCGTGGCTTTCTCGTGTTGGTAGGTCTTGTCTTCCAGGGCTCAAAGCTGGACAAGGGCTAGTCTTTAGGAAACTGGCAGCCCTGTGGTGCTAATGAGCCGATCACCACTTTAACCTAAAATAAAAAGAAACTGGCCAGTGTCCATCCTGTTCTCTGCACTCCTTAATAACTCTTCCTTGTCTTGTCTACTTAGAATTTAGAAAGCTATAGTCACATGGACAAAAGATGGGAATGTGCTTCTCTTTTCCATGGAGGAGGATGCAAAATGAATAAATAAAATTGATAGGTCATTGGTGACCAGGGGGCCATTAGTAAATAAATGAGATGACCAGTGCAACACAAACGCAGAAAATCTCAGACTTATTTGGAGGACTAACAATTAATAGGTTCTGTTGGTGATATTCAACAGATATTAACTTCATATTAAAGCCAAATGTTTGATTTGCACACTAAGGACTTTGTGTATTCGTCCATTTTGTGTTAATATTTCTACACCATAAACTAATCTGTGCATTCACAAGCTTCACTATTTCTAGCTGATAAAATCATAAAGAAGGTATGTTGTTAGTTCAGAACAGTTTGAATGATTCTCTGTAACAGCCTCACTAATCTGAGTGTCAGATTCAGATGTCCCCTATAAACCAAAAATATTGAGTACAGAAAGTGAGTTATACTGAAATTATATGGACTGTGGAATGTAAGTTGTATAAGATGAAGTTTTTACCTCAGTAGTTACTGTTACTTTGGAGCTTCTTTGTAGAGATGAACATCAATGTCCTCATAAATAGCTCTAAAACAAACAAATGGTTATGTATGAGTTTCAGTGTTCTAGAATGCTTTGTAAATGCCAGCAGCATAATAAAAATTTGGGATTGTACAGGAGGTTAGGTGCATCAGTAAACACAAAGGTCTTTGTCCTGAAGCGGGATTCAAGCTTGCTTAAATTGTGGTATTGCAATTCCCATCCCTGTTTAAAAGTATGTACCTTTCAAGAAAGATTCATTTTTACTTTTGTTTTGTTGTTTGGTTTCTTCCGGTACCGGGAACTGAACTCACGACCTTGCGCTTGCCAGGGAGGCGCTGAGCTGCTGAGCTAAATCCCCAGCCATTTTTTTTTTTTTTACTTTTGATTTAAAGGAAAAATGAGGCTCAAATTTAGACAGTATCTTTGATAAACTGCATTTTTTCTATAACATCCTTCAGTTCATTATATTTGTATGTGTCTTACGTAGGTCTGTAGATAGAAAATACCTATACCTAAAAATATGACATTTATACTCACAACACATGACTGAAAAAAATCTTATAATAATTAGAGCACTATGAAAATGTAATCATCAGCTTTGTAAGGCCTCAGCATTATGTGTGATTCATTGTGTCTCTGAAGTTTTTTCTCATTCTCCATGAAGTGATTACAACTTTCACTCTCCTTAAACAACTGCACGCTCGCTCTCTCGCTCTCTCTCTGAAAGAACCTCAACTCTTAATAAATTAAACACCCTAATGTGAAAACCATCTCACTGTACTGTCACCAAATCTTCAAGTCTGTTTTCCTCTGCACCATTCTATGGTTCTGTCTACCTCTGACTTCTCAAACACTTAATCTCCTATTCCTCTTCCTGAATCCTCAGCCTCTACTTCTAACCAGATCCTGTCAGGTTTCATAGATTGCCAGTGTCTTCCTGTTGTTTTTTGAGACAAGTTCTGAGGCTCTGTTTGAACTCACTATGTAGCCCAGGCTGACCTCGAGGCAATCTTGCCTCAGTCTCCCCAAGTGCTGGGATCACTGGCATGTGCTACCATGCCCAGATCAATTTGCTTACTGTCTCATACTGTACTTTTCCTCTGAGGACAAGCAGTACAGTATGTCTCTTCACCATTCTAAGTTAGACAACAGTCACAGTAAGTGTTCAGTAAGTGAATTGTGCGTGTGTTCATAAATGCACGTTCTACTGGCGCAAAAACCCTTAAGCTGGAGTTCATGGACAGTCAGTTATATGAAAACTCCAGAACTTTTCTGCATGATTCTATGCTTTTCCTTAGAAGCTTTCCAGATGTCATGAGGCTTTGGGTAGAGTTCCGAAGCCTCACTCCTCTGGCATCTCTACCATCTCACTTTTAGCACCTGTGATATAGCAGTATCTACTTAGAGCTATCTCCCGATTAATTTGAACATAGTAACTTTCCCATTACCTACTTGGATATAGAAACGTAAAAACAATAAATTCTAAAAAAGCATACTTGTTTAGTACCACTTTCTTAAGCCACTGATAAATTCAGTGAGATACTACTTTATCAAGCAGTGTGACCTAGGGATGATTCATTATCCTGAGTTAGGAAAAAATACCTAACAGGCTCTTAAAATCTATTAATAGTTATTTATAAATTATTCCAAAACTGATGACTACGCGGAGGGTTTAAACTAGGGGCCAAAACATGAAATGCCTGCACATGCCAGGCAATGGATAGACAGAGGCTACGGTGGACCTGGTGGGCCCCAGAACACCTTGCATGGAGATGGCTACTGCTCAGGCCAGCCACTGCTGGCAGGGAAAAATGCAGGTCTGCTGCTGCCAGACCATACGAAAGGTGGAGAAGGCCAGAGTTTTATTTTTAAATATCCCAGTTTTTAACTGTTGGCAGTTGTTAAGATTATACATTTTAAATTCTACAAAGGTGAACCAAAACAAGTGTGGGCAAGGTATAGCCTGCAGGCTGCTGGTTTCTAACTTGCTTTCATCATCCTTAACCATAGGAACATTAACCTTCAGACACTCAAAATACATTAAAGTGCTAATGCGCCTGCTAGGCCATATACGCTTAACTGATAAGAAATCATAAAATAATGGCATTTCAAGTGAAAAAGGATTTCAAGTGAAAAAGCAATTTCTACGCTAATACTGTATTAATCCACTTTCCACTGTTGGTGGTGAAACGAGAAAGTTCTTATTCATAAAGTTAGTTCTTGATTTAGTTCTCAAAGGACAGTTAAAATATCCTCTCACTGTGGCTTTAACTTATTTTCACAATCAGCTAACTGTGCTCTTCTCAAGCTAGGGGGAACTTGATTTTTCTGCCAAGATATCTCTGAAGAAGCCAATAATACAGTATTGGTTCCAGTGGTTTTTTTAAAGTGCAAACCCCAGCATTTTTACTGTGTCAGTCACAGACCAGGAGGGGTAAGACCGTTCAGAGCACAAGCACCCCCAAACTTCATGAATCATTTGTAATAAGCCCATCAATTTCTGCTGAGACCTAAGCAAAGCTAAATGTATAACCAAGCCCTGGAAGCTCTTCTATCAAAGGTAACTGAGACACAGATTAATCATTTTGTAAACGACTTACTCTTCAGCGGCAGCAGGAGCTAAGGGATCAAACTCCATTACCTCGTAGTAATTGTGTGGCTGGAGGTCACTCTTTGTCATTGCTTTAGGTGAAAAGAGACCATAAACACACATGCTTATCAAAGAACATATACAGCACTTTCTTATTTTCCATATGATAATATTTGATTTACTTTAGATTTCAAATACAAGATTCTAAGAAATACAACCAAAACAAGCGGACTGGTGTTCTGATGCTTCTCCCACATTCAGAAAATCCATGTCTGATTAAAAAAACTCCCTAACTTCAACGAAAGATCCATTTACCTGCGTGTTTCTTAGTGTAAATGCAGTATTTCAGTTCAAAGCTGGCCTGTTTCTACCTAATGAAAATCACAGTAGTCTCATCCTTGAATGCCTGGTATAGGCTGAAAATGGGAAGGAACTCACTTCTGTTTTCGATTACTAAGAAATCTTTGGCAGTTCGATATATTCTCCCAAGTTTCCTTACTGGCGCAAGCAAGCAATAGGTGTCGTGTACCTGGATGATTGTGAGGCAGGGACGGCGGCCTCTGCTGCGATGACGCTGCGGTGGCGCTCTGTGGACTAACTGGCTGTAATAGCCCTGAACTTGAGTGCTGCGGCAACTGCAGAACATAACACACGTTCAAAAGCACATGGCGAATGACACGTTGTTGAAAATTACGTTTCTAGGCTTCCGAGTGGCACTGTTCCAAGAACCATATGCGCTTAACTGGATAAGAACTAGTAATTTTAAACTATTACTTTAAACAGTGTATTACTTTAAAAACTGTGGCAGTAACTTCTTGTAAATTTCACTACTTCTCTGCCAAGCTTTATTTTTTTTTCCCATTCCGGGTATTCACATTCTGCCTTAATTCACATACTCACTGTACTGTTTCCCATATAAAATGCAGATAGATACATGCTTTTTAAAAATACATGTATCTTACTTTGAAAAAGGAAGTAAAATTGTAAGGGTTGGTCCAGATTCTCTGTTGTGTCACTCAGAATGTGAATGCCTCCAACAGGAAACAAAACCCAAAAATTTAAACTGTAGAGGTGAGCCCGGTGTGGTGGCGCACACCTGTAATCCCAGCACTCAGGAGGCTGAGGCAGGAGGATCGCTGTGAGTTCAAGACCAGCCTGGGCTACAAAGTGAGCTCAAGGCCAGCCTGAACTGCATAGCAAGACCCTGTCTCAAAAAAAGACAAAAAATAAAAATAAAAAATAAACTATAGAGGTGTACAGTGATACTATGAAGTCAGGACTAATAAGATAAAGATTAAACTCAGAATTATTATACTTTCCTCATTTGTTCTGCAAATATGTTCTTACTAGCTGCAAAGCAGTATTAATAAAGTAATAAATAAAACACATCAAGTCCCTGCCCTCATGTAGCAAAAATTAACAAATGTAAGTCAGTGTTAGATGGTACATGCTACAGTGTTTTAAAAAGCAAGAAAACAAGGAGACAGAGTTCGGGGTGGGCTTCTGCTCTGAGAGGCAGTGGTCAGGAACTCTCTCCCTACTGGGGACATTTAAACCGAGCCCTGACTGAAATGAGCCTGGTGATCCTCAGAGACACGCAAAGTTCCCAGGCTCTGGAGTGGGAGGCCAGTGTAGTTGGAGCAGAGTGAGGCAAGACAGGTGCGAGGTGAGGCTGAGGAGGTCATGGGCAGTCAGATCAGCATTTCAAGCTTTTATGGAGCAAAACAGGAAGGAAGAAAATCATACATGGATTTTGAGCAGACAAGTGACGTGCCTTCTCTCGTTAAGCAGATTACTCTGGTTCTTGTTTTATGAACAGACTGAGGTCAGGTGGGTGTAGGAGGGACGGTGGGGAGCAAAGGGTGAAACGGCACCTCCTAAGACGCTAGCGCAGTTTCCCTCTGCTGGTGGCTTGGCCTGGGACGCCGAGGGGAGGTGGCTAGAAGTGGCTGGAAGCAGACATTTTGAAGGTAAACAGAGGTCAAGCACTAGTGCCCGAGGTTTTCCACATGAGCAGCTGGAAGAGTGGAGTGGCCATCGATTAAGGTGGAAAGTCTGTAAGAAGAGCAGGCTGAGAGCAAGGGCTGTGAGGTCATCAAGAGGGGAGACTAAGTCGGAAGTAGAAATCTGAGCTCTGAGTTCAGGGCAAAGATCTGAGCTGGGACAGTGAACTTAGCGGGTGTACAAATGCTTATTTCAAAATGTGAGACCCGGAGACCATGGAGCAGTGAATGCAGGAGTCTGAAATCTAAGCCTGAGGTCTCCAGCGCTGCAAGCGCAGGAAAAAAGGTCAGGCTAATGAAAGAATGGAAGTGAAGCAAGAAAAGAACTTGAATGATGTCTGAAAGCCGTGTGTGCAAAGAAGAGGAAATGACCAACTGTCACAGGCTGCTGATAAATCAGGTAAGACAAAGCCTGAGAATTGCACGGTTCTTTTCTCCCCAACCTTTCTTCCCTTCCCTTCCTCCTTCTGTTCCTCTTTGTATGTGGTGCTAAGGATGGAACCCAGGACCTCAACCATGCTGAACAAATGCTCTGCCCCGGGGTGAACCATTCTCTCCATCTTTAACCATCTTTTAATATTAGTGAAACAACCTGTCTCTCTTAAGACTAAAAAGTGCACAAAGCCCCTAAGGAAGACAGCAGCAATACAGTCTAAAGAAACGCTAAGCAGAACATGAGAATTAATGACCCAGAGTCCTTTTCGGTCAAGATAATCTGCTCGGTGCGCTGCCAGCGAAGGCTTTCGTTACTTACATTAGCATATGCATGACTTGAAGTGAGGTTTTGGCTGGTCCGCTGGGCAAACCTAGGATAGTGTGATAACACAGCATGATTACCCTACAGTGAGAACACAAATGCAAAATGTAAGACGACTTTCCTGGTCTAAAATCAAAACCTGTAACACCTTCAGACTGTGCAAGAGTGGTGACTTTACTATAACCACAGCCATCCGGTTTTAGTGTCCGCCGGGTCACGCTAACCAAGTATCAAAGGAAGCAGACACCTGAAGCGCTGGCGGTACAGGGTCATCCTAAGACCAAGGAGTGTGTACAGAACAGTTATAAGCACTTTCACTTTCACACGATGAGCAGCGGAGAGGAATCCTAACGCTCAGAGACTGTAGAAATCCTCCTTTACCCTCTTCTGTCGGTCTTCACATCCCAAATCACAGCACACCCAAGGTGGCTGTGGGGTAGCAACAGTTATCTACGAGAGATTGATACTGTGAGAGGACCCTTCGCCAGCAACTGGTGGAGCTGTGACCACAGGACAATAGGCAGAAGCCCTGTTCTTCCTTTACGCTTTGCCATTGGATCAGCCATCAGCACAGTCTAAGAAATACACGGTGTAACAGGGTAACTGAAGTTTTAGTTTGTGACTGGAGACTTGGGGAGGGAGTCCCCAAGAAATCAAACCGTACCAGAGAGATCACAAAAACTGAAGAATTCAAGAAAACGATCTCCTAAGTTGTTCATGAGATCCTGGACTCACTAACCTGTTACCTCTGTGAACTGGATCTCAACTGAGAAGTCAGAAATGCTGAACACTGAACACACAGTTTATCTGACTGACCACTGGGTGGCACGTGGGGGGACAGGTCTGAATAACACTTCACAGCTTTTGAAAATTGAGCTGACACCGGAACCTCAACCAACAGAAGCAGGCTAAAATTGCAGCATGAATCTAACCAACTTATTAGACTACTATGATCAAAATAGCATCCAGGACAAGATTTAAATAAAACCATAGCCGGGTGTAGTGGCGCACACTTATAATCCCAGCACTCAGGAGGATCGTTGCAAGTTCAAGACTAGCCTGAGCTACAAAGTGAGCAAGGCCAGCCTGAATTGTATAATGAGACACTGTCTCAAAAAAAAAAGATTTAACTAAGAACAACCATCTCAAAATGAAACATCAGAAATGCCCAAGATATAACCCAAAATTACTAGGCTTACAAAGAACTTGCATTAAGAAGACAATTCACACATGGATGTCAAGAACGCACAGGTGTTAGAATTACAGAAGCAAGTGGGAACACTCCTGAAGAAAAAAACTGTACCGTCTCGCCCAAGAAACAGAATACTATATACATAGAACCAAATGGAAATTCTAAAATTAAAAAAAAAAAAAACTGCAATTAGGAAAACAAAAGCTTATAGAATGAGCTCAATAGCAAAATGGAGGGGACAGAGGCAACAGTGAATTTGAACTGAACAGACACCATAGAAATTATCCATGCTGAGCAGAAGAGAGAAAAAAAATTTTTTTTTGTCATCTTTTTGAGACAGGGTCTGGCTATGCAGTTCAGGCTGGCCTTGAGCTCACTTCGTAGCCTAGGCTGGCCTCGAACTCACAACGATCCTCCTGCCTCAGCCTCCTGGGTGCTGGGATTACAGACGTGCGCCACCACGCCTGGCTCTGAGAGAAAAATTTTTATTTTTATTTATTTTTTTTTTTGGTACTAGGAATTGAACTCAGGACCTTGCACTTGCCAGGCAGGCGCTTGTGCCACTGAGCTATATCCCCAGCTGTTAAGTTTTTAAAAAGGCAATTAACAACCCCAAACACCTGAGATGATAAAACACCTGAGGCTAAAACAGTTTCGTTATCAGAGAGCAGCAGTGTGTAGTGCTGAAAAAAAAAAAATATATATATATATATATATATATATATATATTTATTTATTTATTTGAAGACATACAGGCTGAAATCTTCACAAGATTGGTGAAACACATAAAGCTCCAGATTAGGACCAGACGTGGTGATGCACGCCTGTAATCCCAGCACTTGGGAAGCAGAGGCAGGAGGATCATTGCGAGTTCAAGACCAGCCTGGGCTACAAAGTGAGCTCAAGGCCAGCCTGAACTGCACAGCAACACCCTGTCTCAAAAAGAACAACAACAACAAAAACACCCCAAAACAAAAAGAAATCCCACAGATTTAAGAAGGCAGGTTCTTCATATGCCTAGTAATTTTGGATTGTATCTTCAGCATTTCTAGTGTGTGGCTGGATTAAATGGTAACCCCCCAAAATATGTCCAAGTCATAATTCTCAGGACCTGTGAGTATTACCTTATTTATTTATTTATTTTTTTAAAAGAGGGGGCAACCTCTGGAAAATATAGTTAAGTTTATAAGCTATAATCACGTATTATCTGCTTGGGCTCTAAACCCAATGATGAGTGATTTTAAAAGAGAAAGCCAGAGGGAGATCTACGATACACCAGAGAGAAAGGCAGGTGAAGACGGAGGCAAACAACTGCAGTGATGTAATGAACGAGCCAGTGGAGCCGAAGAGTGCCGAGTCACCACAATCTGAAAGAGGCAGAGCACAAATTCTCCGCTGAAAGTGGAGAAGGAACCGGATTTCAGACTTCTCATCTCCAAGGACTGTGAGAGAATAATATTTGTGATTTTTTTGTTTTTTTGGTACCGGGAATCAAACTCAGGACCTTGCGCACGCCAGGCTTGTGCTGCTGAGCTATAATCTGGCCCAATATTTCTGGGTTTAAACCACTTAATTTGTGGTAATTTCTTATGGCAGCTCTAGGAAACCAATATACTCAGCCAAGCCCAAACAAATACACCAGAAGAAGCCATGCTCAGACATGGCAAACTGCTCAAAATTAGCAAAGAAAAAAATTCAAGCAGACAGAAAACACAACCCATTATCTACAAATAAATGACCACTGAAATACATGTAGAAGTCTCCACTTAGGCCACAAGAGCACAACCACCTTTCAAATCTGCTAAAAGAAAAGAGCTGTGAATCCAGAATTCTGTATTCAGGGAAACCACCCTTCAGAAACAAGTTTAAACAATGACATTCTCACATATAAGTAAAAATAAGACACCCTGTTGCCAGTAAGCCTGCTCTCACCTTAACCCTATCCCACGGCTATAAAAACTTCAGACGGAAGGTAAATTATACCACAAGATAGGAAGAGCAATGGAAATGGTAAATATTGGATAAATATAAGAGACTATTCTCCTCTTGGGTTCTTTAAAATATATTTGCAGGATTCAAGCCAAAGTTATAACGTGGTCATTTGATATTTTTTCCAATATATAGAGACGTAACATAAAAGATAACAAATATAAAGAAGTGAAATCTAACTGATAAGGTTTCTGCATTTCACTTCAAGTGGCCAACCAATGTTTAAGTAGACTGAAAAATTAAGTATTTACAATCACCAAAGTTCTCACACACATATACATACATATATTATAAAGATACGGTCAAATCACAGCAGATAAATGAAAATGAAATTATAAAAGCATTGTAATAATCCAAAAGAAAACTAAAAAGTGGAAATAGAAACAAGATAGGAAACAAATTAAAAAATGGTAGATCAGGGGCTGGGGATTTAGCTCAGTGGCACAGCGCCTGCCTGGCAAGCATGAGGTCGTGAATTCGATTCCCAGTACAGGAAAACCTCCCCCCCCCCAAAAAAAAATGTAGACCAAAATCCAGCATATAATTACATTAAATGTAAATGATCTAAACACATAAAATAAAAGCCAGAAATTCTGAGAACACAAAAAAATCTGACCCAACTATGTACTAACTACAAGAAACTACATTTTTGACACAGTTAAAGAAAAAGATACATGTGAACATTAAACAAAAAAGCTACAGTGCATGCATATGTTAAAATCAAGGGCAAGAAAATGAAAGGAAACAAAGAAGAAAATTAAGG